ACTTTGTCTAGGGTAGGAGGATCCTAGACCGAGACCGGACTCTTATATCTTCGGACTGTTGGCGTTGCCGACCCATTTATACCGGGCTCGTGTGTGAGCTCCTCCGGCATGACTCTGACCGTCTCGGAGTCGAGGCTCGCGAGTGGGTCGCGCCTCGCGAGTCGCAACTTGGCAAAGTTGCAAATTTCGCAAGTGCTGTTCCACTTCGCCAGCCGTCCGATGCGCTTTGTCGGGCGCACAACAAGGACCGTACACTCAAAAGATTAGAACAAATCCAAGGAGAATCTAGGGCATATGGGCTGGCAGCCCGGCTGGCCCCGGCGTTCATCGGTTCATGTCATCAGGAAGGGGCGCGTTCCCAATGAGTGACCCAAACTTGGACCCATTGAAGTTTCAAGAGCCTTCCAAAACCACCCAAAAATCCGATTCTGGCCATAAAAGATCGGCGGCAATCATTCTATGTTATATCATAATACAGTACCTATGCGGCACGGTGTCCTCACGTTGCTGATGACTGGGTGTTTCGTGGCGCGGCCGCCAAGATTTAAAAGTAGGCAACTTGTTATTGTCATAAACGCAATCGCGGTGGCATGAACAAAGATACTGGATAACGCAACTCGATCATGGGCTCTGGCTACGACTTTGTAAAAGGAGACGTCTTATATACTGTCGCTAGTATCAGTAATTCGATAGCGGGTCAATGCATACTGCAATCTACTGTCCACCCACACCCGTCCGCGATCATAGTTCTGCACTCACAAACTTTGTACGAAGGTATTAGGTTTGATGCCCATTTCAACGATCGGTCAGACTAAACATATTTTCATGCAAAATCCACACTATTTAATGGCTAGCTTTGCGCCTCTAGGTTTACCTAGGGCCGACTGGTAAATCGCAATATGCTCAGCCGCCATGATGGGCCATTCGACTGGTAGAATGTAGGCTACATGGAGTCTGTGGCGGTGACTTCGCTACGGTCTAAAGAACTAGCTGTTATGTAAAACTCCGATGCTAGCGCTGTGAAGTGCAACATGATTGCACTCATTCCAGACGGACAAGCATGCATATAGCTCGAGCTACCTGAATGGTACCAACAACTCGAGGGTTTCTGTATAAGATAACCCCCGTTCAATTTCGTTATTTGAATGAAAAGTCTTCAGTGCTGTCTGTCTAAAGTAAGTCCTACCGCACAAATCTGAATCATGTCGGTCACACCTTGTTCGTAAAGGAATATGAAGCAACCAGCTGAAAGTATATATCTACAAATAGCAGGCTGTGACTACGTACTGAATAATGGTGTCTATCAACCAGAGCGGGAGTCATTGTTCCGGAAGTAACGAGCTTGGTTCAATCTGTTCAGCAGATTGGAAAGAAACGGTCAGCGATTAGTAAGAAGCTTGGAAACCAGAGCGAAGTACGTTCATATGCATCTACGGTCTTCCTGATCGCGGGCAGGATTTACAAGCATATGTCCGCTCATCTGCAACGTAAGGGGGTGGCAGATAAAGTTGTAAACTGACTGCCGAAACGTCCTTCGCGGACCCCTGTGTGTGCGCCCGCGGATATGTTCATTCTCGAATGACCGAGAGAAAATCTCATCTTGCACAAAGAACGCACAAAAGAACCTGCCCACTTCGACATTGAGGGCGAGCGAAACTGACAAACCATCACAGGGTTCGATACAAAGTTGACCTGCACAGCGCACGGCGGCGCTCACCTTGATATGGTGCGGCAAGATCTTGACGTCATGCGGCGCAAAGAGCCACGAGTCAAGCGGGTACTGGAGGAAGTTCTCCAGCTTGCTGGTGTACACGTCAGCATACCGCTGCACGTTGTACGCAAACGCGGACTCCTTGGCGGCGTGGGTCAAGAACGCGGACCCGAAGTACGCGCTGAACATGGTCTTCATGGCCGCCTTTGCCTCCCGTCGCGCGAGCTGCAAAGAACAGGGTTAGACGTATAGGATACTATAATCTCTTCCGTAGGCGTCCGTGCGTTTGCCTTGTGTTCAGACCTCCCACTGAACACAGCAAGAAAAGGAGGATGCAGCCTTAAGTTTTCTTCCCCTCCTGTGTCAGCTTGTTAATATTCTGAAAAGCGAAGGGAAGACCCGACGAAGCAACTCTTCCGTTGATGGTTGAATTCTTGGATCTCGTTTCCAACAGCCGGATCCTTGTTGCTCTCACAGCAAGCGTAAGCACCGTCCACCTCGTGCAGAGTACGAACTCTTTCGCATCCCCAATCACTTTAAAATATCAAAACAGCGGCCAACCACATCCTCTGACCATTCGAGATCAATAAAAGGAGAGATTCTTTGCTCCGGACGCACTTGCAGCTGTTTCAGGAACTCAGCGTCGGCGGGAGTGCGCCCGGTGGCTGGGAAGCCGTGGAACCGGCCCAGCAGCTCCTGCAACGCGTGGTACTTGGCCTGCTGGAACCGGTACTGCGGCCGGTTCTGAGTGTCAATGTCGTGCTGCAAAGAGATACGTAGACTTTGAAACAATGTAAAGAGTGCGTGATTGTTGAGCGGGGCGAGAGTGTCGAACGTTGGGCAGAGGGCGTAGCGGAAGAATTTGATAAGTAAAAGAACATGTGCGTAGCGCGTTACGGGTTGACTCGCTCACAGTCCTCTTCTCTCAAGTACTTTTCTCACCAATACAACGTGCTGCATCCGACATGTTGCTATGAATCAAGTTCGAAGCATAGACTCTGCGAATGGGACCAGATGGAGTTCCGCGAATCGCAGCAACCGATTCCGCAAAGCGAGCTCGCTCTTCAGATGAAAGCCATTTGAACTCTGCCGAAAGTACTCACTTCGAGCTCCCGGATGATGGCGGCCGTCCGCCAGCCAGCACGTGTCGGCCCCCTCAGATCGCTGTACAGGTGGTCGCCGAAGTAGAGGACCTGCACGCAAGAAAGGGTGGAGTTAGCCTTAGCCCCCGCAAGCCATCCAGCATGTCAGGGAAGTTGTTATTTGGCCCCGAGATTCCTCTCAGGTGTCACCGGGGCAGGGGTGGGCCGTGACCTGTTCCATTCTCTGCAGACATCGTCTCAGAAAGGCCCAGTGTCTCGTGTTGAAACACTCCTGTTAGGTAGGGAAACACCCTGCTTCTACCGATTTAAGCCAGCCTTTCGCTCGTTAATTTTGCTGCTTCCAGAGTGTGGCTTCTAGGTGACCGTCTAGGGGAGCGTCGACTCGGCTGGTCGTCAACATGCAGCTTGGCGACTTTTCTACTGCATAAATGCATTGTTGACATGTTCGTGCAAGCGCGATTGAACAGCATATGAGGCCGGCCTAATGCACCTATTACGTGCACTCCAATCCTGACAAAGGGAGGCATGCATCCCTCGACTCTTCAAACAAAAAGGGGTGAGTTAGAAAGGGGCCGAAGAGAAAAGACTCCTTAAAAGGTCAACGGTAGGAGGTTTTGAGATTTGAGATCCTGTGCGCTCACGTCGGAGCCTTTCCATCCGCTGATGGTGAGGAAGTCCTTGAGGCAACCGTGGTAGTAAACGCTCCCGGGCTTGAAGTCGCGCACCGTGCGCCACGTCAGGCTGTCCTTCTTGTCATTGTAAAACCTGCATAAGCAGCGGGGAGATCAGCCCGCGTGCATCGCGACAACGAAAAGCAAGATTAAAAAAACCGGTAAAAAGTGCAAATAGCGGCGAGCGGCAAAGAAAGGCCGACGGAGAGTACACGTGATCGAAGAAGCTCTTCCTGACCAGTGTTGCGAATGCTTAAACGGATTAAATGCATCACGCATTTTCAGCACACTGAAAGTATCATCTCCGGCTAAACGACCAAGCACAAGTCGTAGTCACCCTGAATCCTCATGTGCGCAGAGACAAAGCACGGCATACCATTTGAGAAGTCCCCGATACTCACCTGAACGGTCGCTCGGACGTGTACCAGTTGGGCTTGTCCGCCAGCGCAATGACGACGTCAAAGAGCTGCCGCCAGCTCTGGCCGTCTTGCCCGTCGTCCTGCGCCCAAGAACAAAGTCTGCTTTCGTTTAAAAAACCGTATAGCAGCAAAAAGAGAGCGTGATCACACGATTGGTCGGAAGGAAGTACGTCTCGAAGCTGAAGGGCGGGAGTGGTGCATCAGGGGATTCTTCGGTTCGCAAGACGTGCTTGGAAGGTACCAAGAGGCTCGCAGCACTTTTCCCTACATTTCGTCCACCTAATTTAGTTCCCAAGATCGGGAATGTCCATTCCAAGGTGGACGCAATACCTGGAAAAGGTAGCGCATGCCGCCGTCCACGAAGAAGAAGGGCGAGTTGGTCAGGATGAACAGCTTCTTGCCGCTCGCCTTGAGCCGCTTCAGCTGCTGGATCACGCCGGGCTGGCACAAGAGCGGATCGAGCGGAATGAGCGGAATGAGCGGAAGGAGCGGGGCGAGCTGAGCGAAATAAACGTCGCACATCTCGTCGAAGATGACTCCGACCATGCGGTTTACGGCACTGTCCTCTAAGCAGAGAGCAAATATCTGCAGACTAACGAAGTGTATCCTCCTCCAAATTTTGCGAAACTGCCTCTCCGTGTGCAGGCCTCACATAGCACGGCAATCGATCAACCAAGAAAGTGCCAGAAGCGGCGAAAGTGCCTTCGAAACTTGGAGTTATGCAGATGGTAACTTACCTGTTTCAATAGAAACTGGCTCGGCTTTTCTAGGATTGCTCGATGCATTAGCGCGCTGCGGTGCACGTAATCAATGGACTTCTTGACGTCTTCATAGACGTACCTGCAAGAAAAGCGTAAGAAGTACTGGACGTGAACAGCGGCAAATGCGAAAATTGGCCATTTTTGGAAAGACGTCACTTTCATTGAGCGATGCACCACAAACTCTCTTTGGAGTTTGTCCCAACCCTTGAGCCAGGAAATGAAAATGGACGTTGAAACATGGACTCACAGAAATCCAGCCTGACCTGGGCAGGAAACTCGATCAGATCTCGCTTTTAAGTTCGAAAAAGACCCCTTGCCCTGTTGTCAACATTCCGGTAGTTGAGACGGGGAATTTTGAACGACTTTCTGACTCAGCGGCTGACTCAGCGGACGGGTATGAAGAACTTACATGGGGTCGAACTCGATGCGGGAAGAAACGAAGTGCTGTATAACGTCCGATATAAGACAGGCCTGCGGAAGATCGTACGAGTCGTTTAAAGTTGCCATGATATAGTGGTATGTGCGACGCAAAGAGCACGAGACGACCGATCGAGAGGACGATAATCCAAGACTCTTGTAGGTTTTCGAATAAGCTCTGAAGCACTGACATGAGGTACACACCAGAACAAGTTGACATTGGTCGTTTGCACTCCTCCAACGAGAACTCTACGTCTCCAAGGCTCAGAATGCGTCTCCAGCTTTACTGATAAGGCAAAGCCGCCGTTGGCATCTTAAGAAAAGGCCGCCTGCTTTATAACGGCAAAGACTTCAAGCTCGTACCTCGGACAAGCAGAAGAGGTCCATCAGCGAGACGAGGTTGTGCATGTAGTCGCTCGGGATGGCCTGCCGCCCGTATGCTTCCTCGATCTCCTGTCGTGACAAGGCGCGACGGCCAAAGTAGGCGGCGCCCGGCTCAACCGCGTGGAAGAAGTCTAGCTTTAAAAGATAACCCTGAAGACAAGAACGCTGGATTCAGTTGACTGAGTTTCAATTGAAGCAGACAGGCAAGGAACTAGTGTTCCCCAAATTGCTAAGTTCAAAGGTAGGTTGTTAATGAGTCCTCATACTTACTGTGAGCCTGCAAGGTGATCCAATCAGAAACCGGCTAAAGAGGCCAGGAGGCTGGTAGATGGCATCACAGGTCTATCGTTTGATTAATCGGACTGAAACGGCTTCTGTGGAGATAGCAGCTTTCGGGGTGCCGCTTCAAACAATGACACAGATGCTCGGTGTCTCCAGAGGCATTTCTTCATACTAGCGACTCTTGATGCGTTGTCGAGCAAATTAAGAGCCGTGGTGTAAAGTCCTCATGTTGCAAATGAAGGAAAGTAATTCTTACCCGTCGTTTGTCATAGTAGAGGCCCCTGATGGGGAACTTTTCGTCGTATCGGAAGCTGAGTATGTCTCGAGGGTATCGAAACTGCGAAAAGCAGATACAATTGAACGTGAGATGCTCCAAACAAGAAGACAACGTTATGCAACGGCTTTGTCAGGAGCTCCGAATCAACCTTCTATCTCCAGTCGGAATATCGTTCCACGATGTACACCAATAATATCTAAAAGGTCATCCGAGAGTCACAGCACGACTATAAAAGAGTGCCAGAAAGTGGTAAAGCTCACTTTCACGTCAAAAGGCCTAAAGTGAAAACGAATGGTGCCAAGCTTACCTCTTTGACGAGGTGATGGACAGCGAGATTGTAGATGAGCGGCTGCAGATGCTCAGTATAGTGAGCGATAGTGTAGTCGTAGTCAAATCCGTACACTGAGATCTGATCCAGCCGCAGCGAGCGGTTCGGGTAGATGGCTGCACCAGGCAGATACTTCGTGAACACCTTTGCAAAAGGATGACGCCTTGAATGCGTGACACTCAGAAAGATGCCCTCTTGCAAATGATGGCGCCTTACAGTGACATTAGAAATAAATGTACCATTGCAGGTCGGCTAGGATCCACTGTTCCCCGACCATGCAAAAAGTCCGTTGATAAGTGTCCAGGGAGGTGATCGAACCGGCAAAGACTCGTCAAGGGCAAGTGCAGGAGAATCACTGCACTTACCATTGCAGCTTCTTCAGAGGTTTGATGATTCCAGCAATTAGTGTCTGTGTGCAATGAGTGTCCTTTTCACTCCGCCTGACGCAGCATCATCAACTTGAAAGTCAATCGAACGAAGTAGGTCTGAAAAATCGAGGAGGGCCCACCGGTCCGCGTAGTGTGTGATCAGGCTATGCCAATCTTAGAAATTGTGATGCAGGCTAGAAAAAGGACTTTGAAACTTTGAGGGATGTTGCGACTGTTGCTAAGCAAATGCGTCAGTGTGCCCGTCTCTGACCCGCCTCACCAGAGGGATTCATCAGGGGCGTACTGCTCAGCGGCAGCCCCTGGACAGCTTGTGCCGCTTCAAACGCGTCTCGGAGTTGCCGAAGCCCCTCCAGAACTGCCCCGGTACTCTGTCTGCCTTGCGAGTAACCTCCCCCCCAGGCCGGCCCAGATTTCGCCCCCGCTTCTAGTTGTTCTCCCTTTTGAGAATGGCTGGATGCTGAGCTATTTTCACCTGATGCTTCAGCGGCTTCGACGTCATGCAATATCAGATCTTCCAACGCAACGCGGTCGCTCAGTTCTGACACTTCCTCGGAGGCGGCATGTTCGAATCGCTCTCTGCCGGGATGCAAGGGATGAGCTGCTTCATCACCCACTAGGCCACCGGTCCGATCTGCATTATAAGCGCAGAGAGATTTCTGGATTGTCATCCACTATTGGCTTTTGAGTTTGTACTAAACAATAGAAACGAGTCCAGCGGATTCATGTCCTGTTAGTGATTTGAATAAATGGAAGAGAGTCGAAAAGCCTCCAGACACAGTGTTGGTCGTGCACCACTCTATCAAACCACAAAATGATAGCGGTCAAGCGATCAGTGTAGCTGTAGTCCAATTGGCGACAAGATCTGCAAGATCTGCAATTGCTTGCCCCACAACGAAATTCACCGCCTTTGCAAATCTAATAGTTTCTAACAGATTTCTCACAATTGCCCCAACAAACTGCTGGTTGGTGTGATGCAAAGGAGACCAGCTGATCCTTGATTGAATTCAGATTGTCTGTGATTGGCATGCTTCACCTCTGGAGTTGATCCCAGGACCCAAGCCTCCGGGTTGCTCCATTGAGGGCGCCAACTCTTCCGCCAGGACTCTCTCCGGTCTAGTGTCATCCTCTGTAAGCGCTTGCCCCGGGATTGATTGCTCAGCAAAGTTATCTGGTGCGAAATGGTCTGGTACTGCAGAGCAGAGGCCAGTGGTCCCATACTGCCTGCACTGCATACTCTGCAGTAGAGCCCCATTTAGACTAGGCTGCTGTCGTATGCTGGGAGAGAATGCAGAAAGCGTTCGTGCTGCAGACATCAACAGCCCATCGCCTAGGAATGGGCTGATCGGAGTGCTAAGCTCTTGCACCCGATGCCTCCCCACTTCATTGATCAACCTATTCAAACTAAGCGAGAAACCGCCAAGCGATCTGCGGAGGGCTGCCATATCGTCTGAAAGAATGGATCATCTCTGGATTTGAAATAATCAATTCAGTACACGCACATTGCAGGCGATCACCAATGCAGATTTGGATGAAAGTTGTCACGAAACGGGACCTTAGGCTTTGAGATCTTCATTAGCGTCTGAACAAGGTACTCAAGAACTCAGCATTTGGAGGCGTTATGGACTGCTTGGAGTAGGCCCGAGCTACCGGTACTGCAGCAGCTAGGCTTGCAAGCTGGAGCAGTGTAGTCTGCGAGATGAGTGAGACAACTTGAAGTTGAAGTGGAGAGCAGAGCTAGTGGCAGTGCGCTGATTCTGAACCAGAGCGGCGGTAGATCCATGCAAAGCTAGCTGCTGCTGACTCTGAGTCTGAGTCTGAGTCTGGCCTGGGCAACCGGACTACTGGCATTCACCAGCCGAAACAGCGCCGGCCGACTTCCGAGAGTCTCGGGCACGAGCTGTCTACTCTCGACGGTCAAGAGTTGTCCTGAGTCAATGAAGGTAACAACCAGGGCGGCTCTGGTTGACACGCGTCAGATGGGAGGAAGCAGAGTCAGCCCTTTAGCCAGCCCAGGAAGTTGCCAAGCTGGCACTTGCTGCAGCATTGGCATGCAGCTGGTACGGCCATGGCGGCCATTCCGGAGAAGAATTGGTGAAGACAAGGGCGCAGACGTATGTGCAAACGAGGAAAAGTGCATGAAAAAGCTCCTCCTCGTTTGCAGTAGGTAGGCACTGTCAGGAAAGTGACAAGAACTTACAGCTGCCAGAACTTACGGCTGCCCACAAAGGGCCTTCAAAATTTTGTAAGGAGGAAGGGTGAAAGAAGCTGCAAGTAACTGGCAACTTTGATTTCGTGAAGGTGAAGAGTTTCCTTCATAAGGTTGCGGACATAGGTTCTGCTCCTGTTCTGCTTGTCGTTGTGGCATTGTGATTGGCAAGATCTCATAGAGCTGGACCGGGTGCGGTACAGATCTCAGCAGCTCTCTTTGAGAACTCTGTTCTATGATGGCAGGGAGTGTGGGACACAACGCACCTACTAAAAAAGCAGAGGAGGAGTCACCTATTCCCCCCAATGCGACATTGTCTGAGCTGATTGGTGGGACGCCCTCAGAGTTTAGTTCTGGTGAAGGAGGAGGGGGTCCC